TATATATATGCTTGTTATTTCATTGTATGTTAGGTTCAAATTCTAAAGCCTCAGTGCACTGAAATTATATGCTTTATTGCCCTGTATAACCCTGTATAAATGGTATGCTATAAACATGTTAAACATGTAAAAACAGGTTCTTAGTTTAAAATATTGCATTCTATTTACATGTAGAACTCTCAGATTCCATGTTCTCACAATTAGTCAGAAGGTGCTGATCTCAGATTTGTCCCTAAATTTACACCCTGGATTCCGTACAGTGACCACCTACAACCACCCAAAGTGATAGCCATACAGTTCAGTTTGTTTTTATTCAGGACCATCTAACTAAAGAACCCCCACTGATTTTATAAGCAAACAAGTCAACAAGATCTTGTACAATTCCTTGATTACAATTTATTATCAGTAAACAGCAGAGTAATAAAACTGTGTTTTTAATTGTAATCGCCCAGTAAAGAGGGATTCAGAGCTTCCTGTGTGTCTTGTTTGTTGCTCCAGAGACGGCCATAAAACTGAACATTTACAGTCTTGCTTAGCAACCACTTCTAAAACAAGACAAAAATCAGCGACTTCAAACAAGTGAAGTCGTTTTTCCTTATCTGTTCCTGTTACTGTGAGTCCGACTTAAGACATTCTGAGATACACAGACAGAAAAAAATCACAGGAAAGTATGAGGACTTGTGAACATGGGTGTAGCTGTCCCACAAAAGCCTGTGAGAGGATGGTTATGGGAGAGGGCTGACAGTAGGGGGAGGAAAATTAGGCTCGCCAGCATTCTTCTCATTTAAAGCTGTAACTACACAAAAAAAAGCACTCACACGGTCTGGGCTGGGTCTGCGTGCTGCTTACAAGGAGAGGCACTCTTGTATTTATGGTGGTACAGTGATAACCTGAGCATTTTTTTCTTTTCTTCCCTTTTCCTTTTGCTTTGCACACAAGGAAGGCTCATGTCTTTCTTATAGACATGATGAGCTTTGTGCATTTAAGGACTTTCCTTTTTCTGGTGGTCACCATAGCTCAAGTTTTGATTGTTACATGTCAAAACGGTAAGTGAACCCCTTGGCTGTTTATTTTGACACACAATTGCTGCAGGTTGTAATGTGTGAAGTTGTCTGAGCCTCAAACTTGCTTGGACTTTCTCTTTGTTCTTGTGCAAACTCTTGTGTAGAAGCTGAGTTTATTTGTACTCATCTCCTCTTCACAGAATTATTACAAAAGTTCTTTTGTATTGTTAAGAGTTGTTGTTTTCTATTGGATATCAGCTGCAAATGTAGTAAGAGCAAACACAAGTTAGAGCTCTGGTGGAGATGACTGAGACGAGCCTTACTTGGTCACTGAAGAGTCTGTTTAGCTTAAAGACGATTTAGAAGACAAGAGAGGAGAGTAGCTTTAGAAATCAGAACACAAGCCCTGTATGTCAGGAAACTGTCATGTCGACGTCTGTCAGTGATTGCTAGTGATGTCACTCTCAGGCCACTGGAAACATGCAAAGGATGGAAACGAGCACCTTGGTGGTTTTGCATTACTCCAGCAACGCTCTGCCACTCTGGAACATTCATTAAGTGTTACCACAACCATCTCCCCCCCTTGGTCTACATCTGTGAAATGAATTTCAGCACCAGAGCTCATGTGCCTCTGAGGGAACAGACTGCATGTTAATTCAAGTCAGATGTGAGGAGACATAAGAAACAGAGATGCTGTTGGATTCACTGAGTCACTGAGACTGTGGGGATGTTTTCAGCTGGCAACGCCAAGAGCTGGAACACCTGAGAGGTCTTGTTTTACGTGAACTTCACTTCCCCCATTGTTTCAGCTAGAGCGTTTGATCTCTTGTGTCCAAGGGTCTGGGTTTTTTCTACATATGATGTCATGGGCCACACTGGGTACTGGAAAGTTTACTTGATGGGCCCCTGATGGAGTCTGGAGCAAAGAGTATTGTTTATGTTTTGAAAGCTGTCATTCCCTCTGGATAACTTTTGTTTTGTTTTCCTTTCATTATATCATTAACTAAAGTGAGTTGGCTTTACTGTTTATGTTCAGTTTCACATAAAACAGAGAGAGCTGTGTGATAATGTGGCACCAGATAGAGCGCCACCATGTGGTGAATCCAGCACAGGGCCCAAACCATAGCTGGTACTGTTTTTGCTCACTTTAACTGTGCTGAAAAAATAATTTAACATTAATATGCTGGTATTTGACAAATAGGGCAACACCGTAGTTACATTTATTTTCATATCCCAACTTTACCATTCTCTGCAGCATTCTGCTACTTAAACCTGACCAGGGACAAAGATTGGGAATAAATATATGTTTGTCTCAGGTAGTACAAACATTTCTTAGAGTCTATGTTTTAGCCAGCTTTACCACCCTTCTGTCTCTGTCCATATTTGTCCATGTGAAAGAGCACAGTGATCTTGCAGGCTTTTTTCCATGGAACAGTAAAGGGTGAGGTGATTGCATTTTAACCAAATAAAAACAGTGGAATGTTCATGGTTTTTGTAGACTAAGGGAAAATGTGGTGGTGAGGCCATGCATATATGTGTGAGGGGCTGGTGAAGGCTTGTTCCACACATTACAGTTGTATGCAATGGTTTCTGTCAACACATTTCAAGGCATTTCACATTCAATGTGCCAATATACAGAAAATGTAATATTTTAACATCCAGTCAATGGGAAGTTAATTGACATCAAGGATTTTTTTTTTACCTGTAAAACAAAAAATGTTATTTACATGATGCAGAGCCCATGTGTAACAGTCTATATAGGGGAGACATCTTACACAGTGTGTTACAGAACAAGAGAAATGATGTTACTAATCCTGCTGCAAGACATTTTAACAAAACACCACATGTTATCATTTTCCTGGAGTGAGAGGTGCCAATACTATTTTGTTTTTTAGGGGGAAAAAGGGACATTCTGCATTTTTAACTTTAAAAGTTTATTTTCATGTGGTAGGAATTAGGATTTTCAGTTAATGAGTTTTTTTATAGTGGGGGTTGGTTTTATGTGCTCATTGGCTCCAGGTGTGCACATTTTTGTTTCTCTTTTGTTCTGTGTTATTTCACATATGTGGTGTCACCTTATTGGACACAGCTCTTGCTCCTTTGTCGATTTGATCCTTCACCTCTTGCTCCTTTGTCGATTTGATCCTTGAGTGTGATTGGTCGATGATCACATGACCACGTATGTCATTTACCTGTTTGCAAGTTTTTAATGGCCGACATGTGGGGGTTTGTGTGTGATTAGCTGTTTTTAAAGGATTTTTCCCCCGTACTTGTACTATTCATGGAGCTTCTTGTTGTGTGACGAAGGCTTTATGCAGAAACACATTGGTTGCCAGAGGTTTTGCTTTTTGGTTTGTTTTGTTGCTTTTGTGCACCTTATCAGTGAAGTTGTGTCAGTAATTTCTGTTCTATCTACGTTCTATGTGTGTGACAGTTTTGTAGCTGTGTGAATAAAAGAGCAGTACAAACAGCTTGGGCTCATTTGAAAACGTTGAAAGTTGTTGTGCACATCCAAAATAATCATCAGAAATTTGACTTACAGTATGAGAAAAACTGACTTGAAGCGACATGTTGCATATGTCACTATGATGTTACTCCATTTAATTTGAACTTTCATGTGAAAATTTGTTAAATTGTGTGTGGCTGAATGTTGATGAAACAACATAACTGACCGTGGATCCGTGCAGTCGAGAATTTTGAAGACAATACTGTTCTATTCAGAACATAAAAAGAAGTCAGAACAAGTCTATGTTGAGGACAGTGAGACCATTGGAAAGACGTCTGGAGACCAGACATTAGTGGAATTTAAAAAAAAATCAAACATAGTCCGTTGAAGACTGAAAACACATTTTAAAAAGTGCTGAACATTTTAGTCGGTGCAGTTATACAGCTCTAGATGAAAGTCATATGTCTGCACATGTGCAGGAAGTTTGCTTGGATAAGAACATAAGTTGGCAGATGAGATCAAGGAGCAGACTTTAAGCTCCCAATTGGAAATGGTGACGCCAGCACAGATTACCAGGATAAAAATGTTGTACACCTCTCATGCAAAAACTACAACCTGTTTTAGAAAAAGCAGAAGAGTTCAAGTAATATTCAGAGTAAAGTTTAGTTTTGTGAACATGGAAAAAGGTGAAAAAACAGAAATAGGTCACTGCCTGCAATAACAAAAAGCATCAGATTGTGCCCAGAGTTTTAGCCAGAGAGAGATTAATGCCTCTGCATGTGTGTGTGGGTGTGTGTGTTTCAGCATTACTCTTCCCAGATGCTGACATAGCTGTAAGACATGCTCAGAGATGCCGCTTAGTGCCTTCCATGAAAAAGGCTGAACAGTCTTTGTGAGACCAGTGGCTTATTTTAGTTTGTTAGCAGAACTACCTTTGTCTCACCCTCACTGGGTTTCTGATAGTCAGCACAGTCAAAATGCAAATCAGCTCACTACAGTTTCCCTCTTTTGAGACTAACACACAAGCAGAAACCAAAAATCCCATCTTCTGAATCAACAAGCCTACATGAAGTCACTCTCCCTTCTAAATTGGTTCCAGTTGTTGTTGCCACATCACTGACATTGCAATAAATGGGCTGTTTTCTACCAAAGCTGAAAAGTCCAAACATGTGAATTCAACCAGTTCCACAGTCGGCGCTGATTAGAAACACATGCTGCATTTTTGAGCTATGACTTGATTACACGCCTCTTTTCTTCCAGAGTTAAGGAGGTCGGACTCACTAGATTGTACCCTGTCTAACGTTACAGTACGCATCGGTGGAAGACTTTTTGGCAGCTGTGTGATGTGAAGTGTCTCACACTGAACCTGTGATGCCTCGGTGCCACAGACAATAGGGCTGATGGATTTGTAATGCAGCCTGTGCCCGTGAGGGGCGTGCCATGGGAGCTAGTTATAAACCAAATGACTGAAGTCAGCAAATGGAGGTTTGGGGCGGGGAGATGACTTCCAGATGTTCAAATAGCAGATATGGCAGTGTTTGGAAATATTTTGTACAAAGTCTTAGCTTTAGAGAAAGATGAAGGGGAGGACATTCAACAGGTGATGCATTACATGAAGTGTCAGCAGTACTTTAGGAAAACCTGAACATGTATAGATGTGGTGCTTACTGGCTTGTGGTTTGCCTTGAGAGCAGGTCATTCCCTATACATGTTCAAGTTAAAGTAAGTGTTTGTTCAAAAGCCATGCAATTTCAGCTCCTCCTGTCAGGTTTCCTGGTGATTGATTGGCGCTTACTCACCAGTCTGTCTGCCCATGTGGGACGACAGGACAGAATGTAAACATAGAAAGACCAAGGTTTTCCAAGAGCTATAATTGCCTTAATTGTATTCTAATTACGAATGAGCCAGATTGTTACTCATAGAGATCAGAGATCAAGAGTTCAGCCAGTAAATTATGTGACATGTTCAAATTGAAAAAAACAAACAAAAAACAAACAAATAAAATTCAATTCAGTTGATTTTTGTGATCTTCACAGGTACCACACTGTATCCCACCAAGGTAGAAAGAGAAACGTTCCAAATTCAGTGGCCCTACATGATTTCAGATAAGATTTTATTTACTGGGTCAGGAAGAGAAACACAGCATATGAAAAGAGTTGAATAATGCCCTCAGTATTCGTGGAAGCAGCTTTCCAAAGTTTAAACAAACATAACCATAATGATGGCGTTAGGGTGTGTAGAACAACCTGGATGTGTGGAGTTTGAAAGAAGTCAGCATAAAGCCTGTAACAAAAAACAGGAAACATAGGATCTAGTGTTTTGTAACTTGACACTTGGTCATAAAGGAATAAAAGAACATCTCAGGATCCTCTGCTTCGGTTTTGACCATTCGTTCTTTGATCCATCTCCTGCCCATCCTTTAACTTTATGGATATGCATCACCAAATTGCTGGAATACCCCCTTTAAACAATCATAAATGCAATGATTGTTCCATCTGATTTGGGCACACCTTGTCTCTTTCAACAACTGAAAAGTCATTTTGTACATCCCTGAACGCCAGGAAAACAAACATGTCCATAATGTTAATGCTTTTGA